GCTGGTAGACGCAGCTCCACGGTGTCTTTGTCATGACGTTGTTGCTTCCAGCCAGCAGCTTGATCAAGCGAAACAGGTCAGCGGCTATGCCTACAACTTCCTTTCTCTTCAGTGTCCTGTCCAATATATGGGTCATGCAGAGTGCAGTTACTGTCTTTGTTTGTGCGTTTCTGTGGGAAGATTTTTCTGTATGACAGTCTGCTTCTAAAACCTCACTTTATTATACAGATTGACAGCAAAACCACCAGCTTTTAGGCTTTTCTTTAAAAGCGCAGGTGGACCATGACCAGGGCCAAGTGCACACTGACTCACACACTGTCCCTTAGCTTTCTTATGTCTTTCTTGGTTTTTGCAATAACCGCTCTAGTTGCTAAGGTAAAATAGGAGAGCCACCGCACTGTACTTCCCCCACAAAGAGTGACCTTTGAGAGATAATAATGAAATGATAATGAAACTGTAGTCAGAACTGTGAAAAAGCTTTAGTGCGCAATGTAGTGTAGGAAGGGAAACGCCATTACATCATCATCTTAGCAAATAGCTAATAAAAGAAAAGATTATGATAACTGGAAAAAGAAGCATCAGAGGATGTGATTTGTACTGAGACCAATGCGCGATTTCCATATTCATACAGGTGCAGGGAGCAAACGGAAGACATTTATCATAACAGAAGAGTCTACAACGTGTAATTACGTGTTCAGCTTACATAGTTTGACAGTAGTCTACTTCTGTAAGAAATGAACTGGAGAGATTTCTCTGAGTTGAGTCGCTGCAGTGATGCAGACACCAGCAGTGAAGAGACGCACTTTAAATGCCTTCATTATGTTATCCAATTACTGTGCCCATTTGGCTACATAGAAAAATGCTTTCCCAACTTGCTAATTATTGCATTTTGTTACCTTGAATGTAAGACATGGTGAAGATGGAGATAAACACAGTGCTTTGATCGTGGCTTTTATCCTGCATTTGAACACAATCATTCAACTATAAGAAGGTTCATAATAACAATATGAATTTCAATGTAACATGTAGCAAATTATGTATATGACTCTGATCCAATTGCAGTATGAAAATGAAGCCATGGTACATTTCAAGTCCCCAGACACACATCAAGGCAAATCTTTTGCAGTCGCTATCGTCCCTTCTTTGTATCAGAAATCCTGCTAGCTCTGTTTCACAGACTGACAGGAGGCAATCCATGCTGATATCAGATTGTAGACGTGAAGAAGGTGGCCTGAATACAAAGTAGCTTGAAGAGACATCTGGGAAGATGGGTAGGTCTGAGGAGGCTTTGTGTTAGATTCGTCTCTCTTGGGTGGGCCAAGTCAGTCCCTGGTTCATCGCAGGAAAACTTCTACTGTTGGAGACCTTTAGTTTGTTGATTAGGCTTTGGCCAGAGCCAACAGGAGGTACACAATCAGCAAGTTATATACAGTTAATCCATATTTTTAAATCAAAGTTCAATGCCTTTGGACAATTTGAAAGATGCCTTATGGAGTACCTTATATAAAGGTTCTGGGTTCCCAGGTTTTTAATAGCAAGACTACACTCTGAAATCTACTCAAAAAAGAAAGAGAAAGCTTTGCTAGATAATGTATGTGGGAGGAACAATTCATTCTGCCATGACATTTTGACAGCAGATGTTGCAATTAGGAGTTGGAGAGAGTAGATTCAGATTTAACGCAGCGTTATTCTCACAGATAAACGCATTATGTCATG